GCCATGCCGCCTGGTCTGGCCTGCTGGAGCAGGCTGTGGCCACGCTGCCCAGCCTGCCGGAGCAGCTCCAGCCAGGCAAGAGACATCCTCTCCTGGCCCTCCCCAGATAAGATGGGATGGGGAGAGTGTAGGGTTCCCGGGCTGTCCCGGCCTGTAAGCAGCTGGTGCGCCGGGACACTTTGTTTACTTTAGGTTTACCTCCGTGCCTGCAGATGCTCTAGGTAAACAAACCATCTTGGCCCGCCAGCGGCTCCTGATGGCCTGGGAGCCAAAGTTTGCTGACCCTTGAATTATAGGGTTGGCTTATGAACGGGTCATGAATTTTGTTCCATTTTTACTTATCCATGGGGTGGTGAGGGGGTGTCGGCTTATAAACGAACTGGCTTATGATCAAGTATATACGGTAGTTAGGCTGACCTAACCCCTGGTGTAGACGGCACTAGGTCTATGGAAGAATTCTTCTGTGGACCAAACTACTGCCTATTGGTGTTGTGAGTGTCTACACTGAGGCCCTAAAGCTGCACAACTGTAGCCTTGCAGCTCTGCCACTGTAGCATGTCAAGTATAGACAAGCCCTAAATTAACAAAGGCCTTACCTATATTAGAAAGCTTGCACTTGTGTAATGATATCCGTTTAAAATGTAAGATAGTTTAGTACTGTTTAAATGCATCTAAATCAGTTTAGCTGCCTGTATGTTATGAGTTTGCACCAGTGTTGCTAGATTTATTTTAGTTTCTTCAGTGAACATTTACTAATAGCGATAAGGTGAAAGTCTCGTGTGTGAGAATTTCCCAACGTTTTGCCTTTTTTAACTACATCAGAGTAGATACACTGGTGCAGACCCCTAATATAATGATATTGCTGTGGGTTAATTGTTAGTCTTATGCCAGTTCTATGCTCGTTCTCTGAGGGTTTGCACAGGTTCAAAAAATGCGGTATAGATAGAACCTAAATACAATTATCAGCATTGTTACGTTAATGTGAATAGCTGTAAGCATTGATCCGTATTAGTGGCCTTGCAGTGCTCCAGTGTCTCCCATGCCTCTTCATATCTGTACTCTCATATCACTAGTGTACTTGTATTCACTCCACAACTTGTTCCTCCTGACCTCCATGTACCCACAATCACTATCATGCTTCTGTATATGCATGCCGCATTCAGCTTTTAAGCATTATATATAGGATCATTGTAACATACTATCACTTTTTATAAATTAATTGTGTTGGGGAGAAGATGATGTGGTTGGGAGTTGGGTTTCAGGGGCTGGAGCATGGGGCAATAAGTGAGGTTTGGGTCTGGGAGTGGAGAAGAAGGGCAGAGTAGAAGCGGGCTCTCATAAGCTTCCTCTGATTCATCAGAATAGAATTCTGCCAGACCACAGGAGGTTTGTCGGAGGGCATATCTTCTTTGAATCACAGGAGGTTCATCAGAACAAAGTTGTTCTCTGGTCCACTTTTCCACTTCCGAGGCAAGCTGGAGAGGGGAGGAGGAGGTTTATGGTCTGTCCGGAGATCCATCAGACTGGGACTTCCTACTGGTGAACTGTAGGAGGTTTGTCAGAGAAAGAAGCTGCCTCCAGAGTTGAGCTGAAATTTTTCTAATAGATCTTGAACTCTAGGCCTCAGGTCTCATATTTTCCTTCATAGTTGTTAAGAGGGAGAAGGGGGGGAATACTTGCAGCTGAAAGTGTGTCAGTAGTGGAGTTAACAGCTCTGCTCAAGAGGCAACTTTCCCTCTAGCAAACCTAATTGCTTCTGAATTGTTAGAAAAAAAACTCAGTGACATCTGAAATTCTGCTAAGATATTTCACACTTAAAGTGCTCCTTTGTGCTAAAGACAAGTCCAGGGCCGCCGCCTCCTCCTTATTTACTGATAAATTCAAACACGAAATTGATAAGCAATAGCACCAACACCATCTTCTAATATATTGAACTTTCACAAGTCAAGAAACCAGAAGTGCTTCAACTAAGTTATAGTCCCTCATCAAGGTTTGTAGTTCATATTAGTGGATGCTTTTGAAAATCCCATCCAGAGACGCCTAAATGTTTTTTTTAAAATTTGGCCTGTGTTTTTTATTTTAAAATAAAAAAAACACTAACTTTGTTTATATATTGAAAGTCTAAATAACTTTTTATTGTTAACACTGAAAGCAATTTTGTTTTGAAGTGATAAAGATTTTATGCCCCAAAGAGAAGCTTTTAATAAAAATACATTGTTAATGCCTGATGCTGCAAACACTTATGTACGTGATTAATTTAAAGCAGATGAGTAGTCCTATTGAAGTCAGTTGGATGTATTCATATGAGTAAAGTTAGTACCTGCTTAAATGTTTGTAGGGTCAGGTCTCGGTTTGCAATATTTTGGTTTTTGCCTGTAGAAATTCTGTAAAATTCAAATAAGGTACTTGCCAACAGTGACATCTAAAAACAGCGTTTGAAATTTAGTTTTATAATAATGTTAATAAACTTCTGCTCTGACCTCTTTCTCCTAATAGGCTGCTATATTCAAAATGTGTAACATTTGTGATTTCTTTCTGATATTGATAATGACTGTTTCACTTTAGGTAATTGTGACCTAAAACTATATTTTGAATGCTGGTTTTAAGAAGCGAATAGCTTTTTGCATTAACACATTAAGCTACATAACCTGTTTACTGTAAATTAGGGCTTGAAAAATCTACTCACCCCTGGTAACTGTGAAGCATTTCCAAGCAAGTGAAGGGCCTAAATTGTTGTTTTTGACCAATTTTTAAAAAACTGAATAATTTCAATGTAGTTTCAGGAATTACACCTGCCCCAGAAATATCTGCCAATTTTGGTTTTAAAATAACTTTTTCCTATTTTAAAATGTTTGTGCTCCCCCCCCACCCCCTGTTGCAATGTAAAAGATCAAAACTGGAAACTCTAATTTACTCCATTATCCTGCAAACACTTAAGCGTGTGTGTAATTTAATCACATGGGATTAGTTCCACTGAAGTCAATGGGATTTCTTAAATGAGTAAATTTACATGTGTAATTAAGTGTTTGTAGGTTAGGAGTTATACTGGCTATACAGGAGAACAGTGAAGCTGACTTGGAGATAATGGTGGGTAGTCAGCAGAACATGAGCTCCCAGTGGCTGTGTCCAGAAGAGCTAGTGCAATCCTTGGATGCATAAACAAAGGAATATTGAGTAGGAATAAAGAGGTTATTTTACCTGTGTACTTTGCATTGGTGTAACTACTGCTGGAATAATATGTCCAGCACTGATGTCCACAATTCGAGGAGGATGTTGAAAAATTGGAGAGGGTTCAGAGAAGAGCCATGACTGAAGGATCAGAAAACCTGCCTTATAGTGACAGACTCAAGGCTTAATCTGTGTAGCTTAACAAAGAGGAAAGTTGAGGGGTGACTTGGTTCCAGTCTGCAAATACTTACATGGGGAATAAATATTTAATAATGAGCTCTTCAGCCTAGCAGAGAAAGGTATAACATGATTAGTGGCTAGAAATTAAAGCTAGACAAATCCAGACTGGAAAGAAGGCTTAAATTTTTGAACATTGAGAGTAATTAATCATTAGAACAATTTACCAAGTGTCATGGTGGGATTCTCCATCACTGGCAATTTTAAAATCTATATTGGATATTTTTCTAAAAGATATGCTCTTAGAATTATTTTGGGGAAATTCTGTTATATAGGTAGGTCGGACTAGATGATCACAAATGGTCTCTTCTGGCCTTGAAATCTACTTACAAGGTGTTGTCAAAAGCATAAAATAAACAAACTGAAAAGATAGAGGGCCAGGTATATCAGTGTAGGTCCATTGACTTCAGTGGAGTTATACAAACTTCTACCAGCTGATGATTTAGCCCAGAGAATTTTGTTTCCTCTAATTTCTTTCACTTACATTTATTTTAAGTATTACTGTTTTTGTGAAGAAAAGTGAGCTTTTTTTAATGATGTCCCATTTAGCTCTTTCATATATTAAAAGTTTCTAGCCCATATGGTTCTGAAAACTTAGCAAATTTAAACTGATGTAATTTTGTCTGCATGAGTCTGCAAAGATAGCGTCCATGCTTCTCTTGCTGCTTATAGTTTGGCCAATGACAAGATGCTGGTCAACTTCACTGAAACCGCCAGGACTCCTCTGAGCGGTAGTGAAACTGACAAGGATCATGTCAGGCTCATTCTGATTTTTGGGATACCAATGAGCAAGAGCAGACCGACTGAAGGTGTGACCTCTGGACATCGCTTTTGGCCCACTTCTTTTGTCTTTTATATATTAGTCAGATATCTCGTACAATTTTTCAAGCCCTTTTGTAATCAAAGTGGCAGTGATGGGAGTGTGTGCATTTGGTTACATATAATTAGATCACTATGACAATTGGAATGTTGTTACAGAAAATAAATATATATGTATTATAATTGTATTGTAATGGCAATCTATTAGGTGCTGGAGTCACCTAGCACTCCATTTACCATGCTGTCTAATGTGTGTGGTCCCAACACTGCTGCTATAATCATAGTATAACTTCTCTACTCCACCAGTCCGGAACAATGGGATTTGATACATTCCCAATTTAAGAACAAAATTATTGTTAGTAGTGCAGAAAATTCCATAATCTGAATTTCATTGTCTTTGTGGCACAGTAGCTGAAAGCAGCAGGGAGAAATCTATTAGCATATGGCTATTTAGATTTACGAATGTATCTGGTGGTACGCTTAGACCCAAAGTTACTGTTTTCTTAAACACATTTAAGATAGCAGGTTACTTTATTTGACATATTGTTACTATATAATACTTCTTTATTTGAACACAGTAGGATTTGCAACGTAATTACTTAATCTCAAACTGGGTGCCTAAAAATATTCCAAATGTGCTTTATGAGGATTTTTATGACTGAAATGATATTAAATTGTGATGTTTAAGATGTCATTCAGGCTATAAATTAAATAATCTCTGATTTATGTTTTCTTGTGAACATTGCTATTTACATTACTTCACTTTATTTAAATAGTTAAAGTCCCTCGTAATTTTCGCTTGTTGGAAGAACTTGAAGAAGGTCAAAAAGGAGTAGGCGATGGTACAGTAAGCTGGGGCCTTGAAGATGATGAAGATATGACACTTACAAGGTGGACAGGCATGATTATTGGACCACCAAGGGTCAGTACAGTAGGTTAAATCTTCTATTTTTTTTGTTTGTGGGCGGTACAAAATCCTATATTAAGATGACATTTTAGAGAAGCAATTCACTTAAAAATGTTTAAAATGAAAAATGCATAGTTGCAACGATAGATTGTGACAGAACAGTTGTAAATTAAACTGTCTTCAATTTATAACTAATCATAGACTGATGAAGTAACTTGAGTTAAATATGAGAAGCTATGTTCTAGTACACTCAGATATGTGCCAGCAAGCCTATAGTCAGTGTTGGGGAATTATCCACGTCAATTCTGATTTCCTTAAAATCTGTAGAAAGGCTAGAAGGAATTGCATAGAACATTGCACAGGCCTAAGGTTCACATGGTGTAGGCACATATTTATGTCTTCAGCAAAGCAATAGCTTGTGTGTATCCACATCTCTGCAGTTATTTTTATGTCTATTGAGTAACTTGTGTAAAGGGGTTGTGCTTTGAGGCTATTGCTGCCTGGAATATAGGCACAAATTAAAGCTGCATTTCCATCATTAATATGCAGCTATGCCCTAAGATAGCAAACTAATTCTATACGGGAACTGTTGTTGGGGTGTTCATCCACCTTTTTGCTACATGGGAGGTGATGTTTTACTGCAGAACTAAATCTACAAGGAGCATATGATAAACAATATCATTAAAAATTGACAGACACCTATAGTATGAGAAATTTACAGAATTTAAGAGAAAGGATAAGTAGTATTTTCAACTATATCACATAATTCACTGCACAGTGTGTGAACGTAGCTCATGTATAAAATCCACCAGTGTCACCTTCAAAGACCAGACAATGAATAGTTACCTCTAATGAGACAAAGTAGCATTAACAAAAGTTTAAGTTCCAACTGAACTCTGAATTTCTTTAGAATATATTTTACAATGAAACACCCTGAAAAACAACTAGTAATCCTAAATTACTTATTTATTTTTATACAAGCATCACCAAAAGTGAATGGACAGATCTTAGAATGGGGTGTTTTTATGCTAAGGAAATCTGCTGACAAGCAGCTTCAGTGATAATTGAGTACAAAACATACTTCTACGTAAATAGAGATTTGGGCTGATACTCCAAGCGGCATTGTGCTGCTAGGTTACTTTTACTGCTAGCGTTGAGTGACCATGATAGCAGTGCTATAGTTTATTGTGCTGTAAGTCCCTCCCTGACATAAGTCTTATTGGAAGAAGTAAACTAAGGCTCATATTGATAGTTGGGGGGGTATAATGATGGCACTCTCCAAGCTCCACCAACAATCCAAATTCAGCCTACTTGGGAAACTGGAATGAGTTGTCACTTGCAGTAGATTGTGCAGAGGTTCAGAATATCATCACACGTGTTCTGCTAGGCTCCTGAGGTTTGGCTATACCAAAGCTAAATTCCTCTAAGCTGCGCAGCTGCCTATTAAGCCCTGTGCCCCACCCTGCTGGCCCCGAGCTGCTGTGGCGAGAGAGGGCTGCGGGGAGTCCTCTCTCTCCTACTGCAGCCCCAGGGCAGCCTGCACCCCAAACCTCTCATCCCTGGCCCCACCCCAGAGCCTGCACCCACCTGCACCTCAATCCTCTGCCCCAGCCCTGAGCCCCCCTCACACCCTGAACCCCTCATCCCTGGCCCCACTCCAGAGCCTTCACCCCTAGCCAGAGCCCTCATCTCCTGCACCCAATGCTCTGCCCCAGCCCTGAGCCCCCTCCCGCACCCTGAACTTCTTGGCCCCACCCCACCACATGAATTTTGTTATGTGCACCAATATGAAGGTGATGTGTCACATCACCTTCATATTGGTGCACATAACAAAATTCATTTTACACATGGACATAAAAAATTAGAGGGAACGCTGTACCAAGGGGCAAGGGCAAATAATGTATAGGCACAATAGTTACATGCCTTGGACCCTGGTTTCCAGAGTTGTGTGATGTCAGAATCTAAGCTTTTATTTAAAATCCTCCCACCCCCCTTTCATCATTGTAAAGAAAAGCATTTAAAATGTAACCTGTTAACTGATACAGTCAGGGCTTTGGAGCTGTGCTCCAGCTCCAGGCAAAAACCTGCAGCTCCGCTGCTCCGGAGCTGCTCCGCACTCCAGCTCTGGGCTCCTCTCCAAAGCCCTGGATACAGTAGTATTTGCCTGTACCTGCAGACAGCCTCCAGCAGTGGGAGAAGCAGCAGCCACTAGGAGAGTGCTTCTTGGACCCCTGCCCATTACCAGAGCAGTCTAGACACTCGTTACCCTGAGGAAGTGGGCTGGCCTGGTCATGGCAGGGGCTCAAATGCCCCACTCAGCTCTGCAGGATTGGCTTCCATTGGTGGGACTCATTAGTCCCTGCTTTTACATGCTTTGATCAGTAGTGGAATTGTTTACCATGTAGACCAGGGGCGGGCAAACTTTTTGGCCTGAGGGCCGCATCGGGTTTCGTAAATTGTATGGAGGGCCGGTTAGGGGAGGGGGTCGTGGCCAGGCCCGCACCTCCTATCTGCCCCTCCCCCGGGACCCCTGCTCCATCCAACCCCCCCCGTTCCCTGACGGCCCCTCTGGGACCCCTGCCCCATCCACACACCCCCGCTCCCTGTCCCCTGACTGCCCCCAGACCCCCGCCACCCCATCCAACCCCTCCTCTCATTCCTGATGGGCCCCCCCCCGGGACCCATGCCCCATCCAACCACCCCTCCGGAACCCCTGACCCTGACTACCCCCTGCCGCCCCATCCAACCCCCCCTCCTTCCTGACTGCCCCCGGGACTCCTGCCCCCATTCAACCCCTTGTTTCCCCCCTGACCGTCCCACCCCCTATCCACACCCCCGCCCCTGACCGCTATCCTGAATTCCCCTGCCCTCTATCCAACCTCCCCTGCCCCCTTACCGCGCTGCTTGGAGCACCGGTGGCTGGTGGTGCTACAGCCGCGCCGCCTGGCTAGAGCCGGGCCACGCTTCCGACGCCGCAACCACACAGCACAGTGTGCGCTCCCCCAGGAGCTCACAGCCCCACCGCCCAGAGCATTGCGTCGGCGGCGGAGCGAGTGAGCTGAGGCTGTGGGGGAGGGGAGACAGCAGGGGAGGGGCCGGGGACGAGCCTCCCGGGCCAGGAGCTTGGGGGCCAGGCAGGATGGTCCTGCGGGCCGGATGTGGCCTGCGGGCCATAGTTTGCCCATCCCTGATGTAAACATTTAAATTAACACCCCTTTTTTTTTTTTTTTTAAAAAGGGTGTTGGTAACACCTTTGAGCTATACTTTTGAATTGTGTGTGGAATTAGGCAGATGTCACTGTGTGGTTTGTGCTTGGTTTACATTTTGAAGGTTTTCTTCAGTACCATAAGGGCTAGCAATATCTTTTTCTTTAAATAAAGTGAGATTCTGTAGAACAAGATGACAGCCTTGTGGGAGACAGGTACCAAGTCACCAACCTAGTCTTATCTGCTTCAATTTGAGCCATAGGGTAGACAACCAGCGAACCTTTTGGTGTTGCTGGTTAGAGTGCAGGAGAGACCATGTAGGCTGGGATGCAAGTTCAAATTCTGCTTAGTTTAAACTTTATGGTTTTATTTTCCATCAATATTTTATTATTTAGTTAGGGGGCATGAGCAAAGAGAGGTGGTGGATCAAATGAGCTCAGGGGGTTGGAAACAGTAGGACCCTACTAGAAGTGAGAATTGGGAGGGTGGGGTCAATCCCCCAAGCTAGGAGTTGGAGGAAGGCCAAGGGACTCAGGATGAGGGTGAGCAACTGGGAGCAAAAGGAAAGTTGGGGGAGGAAGATCATCAAATTTTATTGCCCTGTGCCCATGTGAACTGGGGAAGACTGGGAACTAGCTTTTCAATGCTATGATTCCAGTGATGAGGTTAATACCATGGCCCCAAAAATGAACTATTGATAACTTGGGTCTCAAGTGAACATGCAGTTATTATTAGCCTATTCCATATTAAAAAACTTTTGGATGGTTGGCAGTCTCTATTAAATAGAGACAGTAATAATAGGGTCATTGCAGGTCATGATTGACGTGATTATCAAAATTGTACCAGTTTCCCCACACAGCATTTTTCTGCACTGTCTGGCCCACGCCATTGCTGTTAGTCCCATACTCTTAAATATAGGGCTTTTAAAAAAATATTTAGATTATACAGAACATCCTTAGAGATGTTTAAATCTATCTACAGTAACTCCTCACTTAACGTTGTAGTTATGTTCCTGAAAAATGCGACTTTAAGTGAAGTGATGTTAAGCGAATCCAGTTTCCCCATAAGAATTATGGTTAGGTTCCAGATTTTTTTTTGCCAGACAAAAGGCATTATATACATTTTAAACCATTTTAAACAAGCAATTTAATAGTACGATCATCGTTGCTGAGTATGAAGCTTGGTTGAGGTGGTGGAGTCAGAGAGCGGAAGAGGGTGTATTGTCCGGCTGCTCCTCTTGCTGATCTTGCTGAACTTTCTGAACTCTTAAAAACACATCTAGAGATTGTTGTTTTGCTTTCCTTTTTTTTCTTGGTAAATTTCTTTATAACCAGTCATTAGATGACCAGCTCCCCTGATCACTTTGGAGCTGCGTTCTCTGTCAGGATCGTCATCACTCAGGATTTGCAAGCCAGCTTCAATCATTTGGAAAGCTTCAGAAAAATGTTTGGCAGTCAAATTTTGATGGGTTGGTGGTTCTTCTACTTCTTGGCCCTCTTCTTCCATTGGTCTCGTCACCTCTAGTTGCATCAGATCTTCATTTGTTAGCTCTTTTCCGTGTGTTTGCAGAAGTTGTGTAACGTCGGCTTCTTCCACCTCATCAAAACCTGCTTCCTTGGCCAAGCCGAGGATATCTTTCTTCATAGCGGGGACAACATATTTAAATCCTTTTAAGTCATTGACACATTCAGGCCACAACTTCCCCCCCAGACCATTCATGTATGCCTGAGTAACTTCAGCCCAGGACTCACCAGTGTTATTGATGCACTTCAGGATGTTGTAGTCACGCCAAAATTGACAAATCATAGG